TCATTCAAAAATTTATGCACGAATTATTTTGTGACACTGGCTGCAATCCCTGCAATGTGTCAGCCCTCTCCCCCTTTCCCTTTACACCCTGGGTTCCTCATGTCCATTCATCCAGTTTTCTTGTCCCTTCCTGCCTTCTCGTCTTTTCTTTTGGGCAGGTGACTAAGAAGCCCGTTCCTCACGTATGTTATTGTTTGTTTTACAGAGGAAACAGAATTTTTGTCCTACATCTACTTCCTGGTTAGTCCCCCTTATCCAGTGATGTCTGGTTCTACCTGATGCTCTCAGCCTTAAACTCCTGCTCTCACCTGGACCCCCAGTGCCAGCTGGGCATCTGTCTACTTCCTGTGGGGGTCCACACTGCTTGAAATGTAGAAGATTATGGGTTCTCCTTCATTCTGCCAAAGCATTTGTCTGTAACAGACTTTTACTAAAAATATAGGGGTGTCAGAAGAGAGTTTCAACACAGCACAGAGAAGGAAACAGTTCAAAATAGAACACTACAGATTGTCATTTCCTCAGCCATCTCCACTTTCAGGAATTTCTAACTCCTTGCTGTTGTTAGCTGCCTTTGAGTTGCCTTAATGGAAATAAAATCTACAGGACTTGGCCATGGTGAGCATGAGGGACAAGTAAGAAGGAAGGTGTATTGTTACAGAGACTAGGACTCCGTGTTGAAAAGTCCCTGGAGGTCCTGGAGTAGCAGAGACTCACCAGCAGGATCTTAGATGATTGTAGAGATGGCATCATGCTTATGGAATCACCAGGACAGCCCTATGGATGTCTCCAGCCCAATGCAAAGGGACACGTTCTGAACTGGGATCATTTACGTCACAGATAAACCTCACCTGCTAAAACATTAAGTGATTTCCTCCCAGTTTCAACCCCCAGCCCCAGCCCCCTTCCATCACCATAACAACCATGTTATGACAAGCAGTTGTGGCATTATCAGGAAAGACTTCTGCCCCCACTTTGGAGATCTAATCTGCCTCTGGTTAGCGTTCAGCCTCCTATAACCCCTCCTCCAACATACACACACACACACACACACACACATCCCTAAGCACTGACAACATCTTTCCAGGTTATTCCTGGCTTTATTTAATACACTTGTATCGTCACAAGTATCACTTGGGTCCTTGCACACGAAGGATTAGTGGATCAGAAAAAATTTCAAAATTACATGAATTATACATGGTAATAATAATAACCACCACCCATCTGTCAGTTTGTTGTACTGTGGTGGCTTACATGTTGTTATGATGCTGAAAGTTATGCCACGAGTATTTCAACTACAGCAGGGTCACTCATGGTGGACAGGTTTCAGTGGAGCTTCTAGACTAAAACAGGCTAAGAAGAAAGGCCTGGTGATCTACTTCCAAAAATTAGCCAATGGAAACCTTATGGATCACAACAGAATACTGTCTAATATAGTGCTGGAAGATGAGCCCGAAACATACCAAAGGCACTCAAACATACCAAAGATCATGAAGAAGGTGCAGGACTGGGCAGTGTTTCGTTCTGTTATATATAAGGTTGCCATGAGTCAGAGCTGACAACTAACAACAACAGTAAAAATAAAGGTAAAGTCATTGGGGAAAACAGTGTGGTGGTTCCTCAAAGACTAAAGATAGAACTACCATATGACCCAGCAATTCCACTCCTAGGTATATACCCACAAAACTTGAAGCAGAGACTCAGAGACTCGTACACCAATGTTCATTGCAGCACTGTTCACAATAGCCAAAAGGTGCAAACAACGAAAATGCCCATCTGTAGATGAACAGATAAGCAAAATGCGGTACATACATACAATGGAATACTACTAAGCCAGTAGAAGAAACAGTCTTGATACATGCTACAATGTGGATGGAGCTTGAAGACATTACCCAAACAAAATCAAACCAGTTGCCAACATGTCAATTCCGACTCACAACAACCCTATAGGACAGAGTAGAACTGCCCCATAGGGTTTCCAAGGCTGTAATCTTTACGGAAACAAACTGCCACATCTTTCTCCTGCAGAGCAGCTGGTGAGTCTGAACAACCAACCTTTCAGTTAGCAGCCGAGTGCTTAACCACTGCACCACCAAGGCTCCTCTTTGAAGACATTATGCCGAATGAAATTAACTCAACCACAAAAGGACAAATATTGTATGACCTCACTTATATAAAAAGACAAGAAAAGGCAAATGTATAGAGACCAAAGTTTATTAGTGGTTACCAGGGGTGGGAGAGAGGTGGAAAGGGGGGTGTAAATGGTGATGGAAAAAACTGCATTGAAGAAAGGTAGGATTGTACAGCCAATAATTGTAATAGCTGTCAATCAGTTGTACACCTGTAAAAAGCTGAATTGGCAAAGTTGTATGATAGATATATTTACGACAAAAAAAAAAAAAGCAGCTGATGCTGCTTATGTACAACCAAAAACCTCACGAGATTTGGTTCCTTGGTTTGGATGTTTAGGGTCATGGTTTTGTGGGACATCCCAGTTAACTGGCCTAATAACGTGTTTAGTGCTTGTGTTCTACCTCCTAGTTAGTTGTGTAGTGCCTTGGATCTTAAAAGCTGGCAAGGAGCCATCATCCAAGGCATGACAATTAGTCCCTATTTGCCTGGAACAACAGAGGAAGGAGAGTCAGGAATAGGAGGAGGATATGCAGTGTGTGGCTAATTGCCTCCATGAACAACTGCCTCCTTTGCCATGAGACTAGAAGAACTGGATGGTGCCTGACTACCATTACTAAACATTTTGATCAAAGATTCTATAGAAGAAGCCTGATCAAAAAGGGGAAAATGCAAAACAAAATTTCAAATTCTCATGGACTCCAGACTTTCTGGAGCCATGGAGGGTAGATGAACCCCTGAAACTATTGCCCTGAGATAATCTTTAAACTTTACCAAAAGTATCCCCTGATGTCTTCTTAAAACCAAACAATAGTCTACTTAACCAGTAAAAAGTATCTGCTTTGAGCATTATGCCCTTTTAGGAACTATCTATACGGGATCAAAGCGACAACAGCAACTCGAAAGATTAGATAGAAACCTTAGGGTGCAGTGAGTTTATGTTAATGGCGGAGGAACAATTCAGAAAAGGAGGGTGAGAATGGTTCCACGACTCAAAGAACGTAATCAATGTCACTGAATTGTACACACAGAAATGGTTGAATTGGTGTGTTTTGCTGTGTATATTCTCAACAGCCGACAAAAGAAGAAGGAAAAAAAGGTGAAGGCTAGATGTTTAAGGACCAAAAGAGACGCAGGCATGGTGTAACCCAAATCCATTTTGGACTAGCTGGGAGACTTTATGCAACCTACTTTGCCTCTCTGAGACAAAGTTTCCCTAATTTTCTAAATAAAGATATTAATAGTATAATGAGTTTTGTAAGGGTTTAAAGAAGAAAGTACATATACTTAACTCAGAACCTGGTGCGTGTCAAATGCTCAAAATCTGTTGCTATGATCACTTGACTATAAACCCCATGAGGGCAGGGATATCTCTTGCCTTGCTCATCACTATATCAGCAGTGCCTAGCAGAGCCCATAGGCCCAACAAGGTGCTCAGTTGATATTTGTTGAAAAAATGAAGGTTATTACTCAGTTTAATAATTCAGGAAATACAGGATGAGGGTTGTAAGGGGGCCTATTTATGGAGAACGAAGGGAAGAAATATTAACCAAAACTGCTACAATCAAACTCAGGCCACTTAAACAGCGTGTCAATGACTTGCAGAATTTAGGTTTGGAATCTATTTAATCTGAAGTGTCAACTGGTCACTCAGGAAAGCTGCTGACCAAGCAATAATGTTATTAGTTTAAAAAAAAAATGTTGCTACAGAGTTGATTCCAACTCATGGTGACCCCATGTGTATCAGAGTAGAACTGTGCTCCATAGTGTTCACAGTGGCTGATTTTTCCAGAAATAGATTGCCAGGCCTTTCTTCTGAGGCACCTCTGGGTAGACTCAAACTTCTAACCTTTCAGTTAGCAGCTGAGCACATTAATGATTTCCACCACCCAGGTACTCTGTTATGGATTGAATTATGTCCCCCAAAAATGTGTATCAACTTGGCTAGGCCATGATTCCCAGTAGTGTGTGGTTTTCCACCATTTTGTGATCTGATGTGATTATCTTATATGTTGTAAATTCTAACTTCTATGATATTAATAAGGCACGATTAGAGGCAGTTATGTTAATGAGGCAGGACTCAATCTACAGGATTAGGTTGTATCTTGAGTCAATCTCTTTTGAGATATAAAGGTGAAACTTGAGCAGAGAGGAAAGGGACCTCATTACCACCAAGCAAGAAGAGCCAGGAGCAGAGCACATCCTTTGGACCCAGGGTCCCTGTGCTGAGAAGCTCCTAGACCAGGGGAAGAAGATGACAAGGACCCTCCCCTAGAGCCAACAGAGAGAGAAAGCCTTGCCCTGGAACTGGCACCCTGAATTTGGACATCTAGCCTCCTAAACTGTGAGAGAATAAATTTCTCTTTGTTAAAGCCATCTGCTTGTGGTATTTCTGTTATAGCGGCACTAGATAACTAAGACAGAATTTAATGCTTTTAGTAGCTCTCAGGAAATGGGGCATGTACCCTGCTACTTGGAAAGGATGTCAAGGCCAGAAATACAGATAAGAAAGTACGGTGTTAATCCATGAGAAAGTGTAGAGAGAAAAGAAGGCTAAGGACAAATCCTTGGAAAACAGTGACAGCAAGAAGAGAAAGAGGAGCCATTTCAAAATTAAAATTTCCCCTAATTTGTTATACTCAGAAGTTGTTGGCTTAAATTGTGGGAAGACTTTGAAAATGATTGAAATGGCATTTTGTTGTATATATATTTCACCACACACACACACACACACCAAAACAATAGTGGGGAGAAGTAATCAGAGAAGTCTGCTGGATTAATCAGAATTAGATGAGGAAATGGAAGAACAGTAACTTTTGGCGACCATATATCCCAGCAAAATGGACCACTGGAAACATTATTACTCACTGTACCTGAGAGCATACATCTCTTCCTGGCTTTATGGCACTGATCTGCTTTAATCTTGGCCACTGAGAGTAAATAGGCCCCTGAGACATCATATCCGGCTTCCTCTAATACATTCCAGTAGTGAAGGAGGTGCAGCCTTGTCCAGAAGCTCGGACTTCTGATTTTTGACAGAAAGTCTGTGATGCTGGTAACACAATGTAGCAATAGAAATCATTTTAGTATTTCATGCCTTGAAGGAAGCTGTTCTTCTATAGACCACATTTCATTAGCCTCTTCATAAATTCCTTTACTGACATGACTTTGCCAGGTCACCACATGAGCATGAGCTTTTCACTCTTTAGCAGTCAAACCCAGTTGTACCCATCTGTCCAGGATGCCCCCTCCACCTGGCAGGCTCCCTGGGTCTGACAGGCAGAGCCAGGACCTCCCTCTCTGTGCTGGCATTGCTCTTGTGTAGCATTTATCACCCTCTGGCTCTACATCATCCCTACGAGATGGAAAGCACCAAAGGGCTTGGGGCTGTACCTTATTCCCTTCTATATCCCAAGGGCCTAGAACAGTGCCAGAGAAAAAGTGGGCCATCAGTAGATGTTTACAGAATGAATGCAGAGGAGGAAGGGAAGGAAGAAGAGGGAGGAGAAGAGAAAGGAGGAGAGGGAAAGGGAGAAGAAGAAGGTAGGAGGATCTAGCAGGAGAATATGGCCCATCTTTTATCCTTGCCCATCTAGAAGTCCTCCTCTCTCTGGAATACCACTTAACTTTGAGGAGAATCCACATGGAGTGAAGAGAAAAAAGTACACTTTACAGAGCCAGACAGATTGAATGGAGTAACCTGGGGATCCACCAGCTGCAGAAGTTGATGACAGATGATGTTCCCATTGGAATGAATGAACGGGTGGTTGAAAGAATAAATGAATGGATGCATCTCCCTCAAGGGAGCCATGGCTATCAAATGCTGCACTAGCACAAGGAAAAGCTAAATCTGCACAAATACAATGATTCAAACAACATGAGACTTACTTAGGACTCGAGACAAAGCTGCATAAACCCTCCCAGCAGCCGCTCATCTTCATATGCCATGGCAATTCTTGATAAACTCGCCAGAAAGCAGTTTGCCGCTGGAAGTATCTAACCAAGACGTGGTGAAAATATGTTTTCTTGTGATTCGTTGGGTTCTGAAAGGTATGTGGACTGCTCTCTCTGACAGGTGTGATTACACCTATTTGAAAATCAATTACAGTTTAACACAACTGACTTTTTAGTATATGAAAACATTATAGAAAAAAATTTAACAGTTTTTTTTTTTTTTGCAGTAATTGTTGTTAGTTGCTGTTGAGTCAATTCCAACTCATGGTGACCCCATGTATACACAGTAGAACTGTGCTCCATACGGTTTTCAAGGCTGTGACTTTTCAGAAGCGGATCGCCAGGCCTGTCTTCCAAGGCGCCTCTGGGTGGGTTCAAACCACCCACCTTTTGGCTAACAGTCAGCGCTTAACTGTTTGCACCACCCAGAAATTCCTTGGCCATAATTAGAGTCGATAAAAGTCAAGGTAGCTTGGAAAAAAACTGGAGTGTTAAACACGTATCTTCGCTCTCTCTTTTTTTTTTTAATTTTGTAGCTCTTTTTATTTTTTTTAGCAGTACATAAAATAAAAAATAAAAATATTTTACTAGGCATGATATGTTTTTGTATGTAAAGGAATCTCAACCAAAGCGCTCTGAACCCTACAGTTACCACAGCTATTTCTAAATGAAAATGTATCTTCTTATAAATCAGTCTGAATTTACCAAATAATTCGTTGTATTTAAAATCACTGACCTAGAATTTGAGAAGCCATGAGCGTGTTGATTTTCCGTCACATATGTTGTTTTCTTCTCTCCCCTCCCCAGAAATATTTGTAACTACTTTTCTATTTTAAATATGCACCATAGTTTCCACTTAAATAAGCACTTTCCAATATTTGAGAGGGTGCTTTTGGAGAAGTTAATCCACTGCCTGAATCTCATATAGACCCGGAGACAAATGAACAAACCAATGGCAAATTGGATGTTGGAGCTAAGATTACTACGCCTTTATTACCAAAGAGAAATGATTTCAGTAGCTCATATAACCTAGAAACAAGCGTCTCAAAAACTAAAATAGAAGTATTTTCAATTTTCTGCTTGATACTTTTTCTTGCAAAATGAATGCAGCACACACCTGGATGGCACACCAAGCCCAGCTATTCATAAGAACTATAACAAATTGAGAGCCCATTGTTCAAATAGCCGTTTTGCATTTCCACTGAAATGATTTCCAGGTCATCCACACATTCGGAAAAACCCCATGCTATCTGTTCTAACCACCACCCATCTGTTGGTTTGTCGTACTGTGGTGGCTAGCGTGTTACTGTGATGCTGGAAGTTATGCCACTGATACTTCAAATACCAGCAGGGTCACTTATGGTGGACAGGTTTCAGCAGAGTTTACAAACTAAGACTATGCCACTCTTACCTTCCCTTTAACCAGCTGGTATTTTCACAAATTCAAGCCTTACCAAGAAGTTTGTGCTCCACAGCATTTCTCAGGGACTGGTGCCGAAAACACAGGAGGCCATTGGGCTTCTCCTGGATCCACTCTTTGGTGGCGTTGCGGAAGGCAGCCCAGTGTAACGGGGTCACTTGGTAATGATTCCTGTAGCCTAGCATGTCCAAAAGCTGGAGTAGCTCATCCTCCGCCAACCCACAATGCGAGATGCTCAGTAAGCACAGAGCGTCGGCCACCCAGCCATCCAGCCCTATGCAGACAACATGATGATGCTGAAAATAACAGCTGACATATGCCAGGTATCAATCTCAACGCTTTATATGATTAACCAACTTATTTCTTTCAATAATTCTATAGGTAGATGCTGTAATTGCCCCTGCCTCACAAATGAGGAAGCACAGAGAAGTCAAATAACATGCCCAAGGTCACACAGCTAGTAGGTGCAGAACTGGGATTTAAACCCAGACAGCCTGGCTCCAGAGGCAACACTCTTAACCATCAAGTTATCGGCAACATTGTCACAGCTAATACATCGTGAAATATGGTTGCAAACTGGTAAGCCTCCTGATTATTACATTTGGTATGTCTGCTTACCCATTGCCGTCGAGTCGATTCCAACTCATAGCAACACTATAGGACAGAGTAGAACCGTCCCATAGGGTTTCCAAGGAAGCATCTGGTGGATTCGAACTGCCCACTTTTTGGTTAACAGCCGAGCTCTTAACCACTGCACCACCAGGGCTCCTTAACAGTCTTTATTAAAGTTTCCAAACACCAAATTTACATTTGTGCCTATGATTGCGTTCCTGCACATATTCACATACACCCTTTGAGCCAACTCTTCATTTCTCCCCTGGCCATTAGGTTTTTCCACCATAGTTAGATTTCCTACTGGCTTTGTCATCAACTACAAAGACACCCTTAAGACTATGGAGAAAAATGACAACATGGTCTACCATTCTAAATGTATTTCCTATGCTAGGATTTGGCGAGGCATGGGTGGTTCAATGGTAGAATTCTCCTCTTCCATGCAGGTGACTTGAGTTCAATTCCTGGCCAATGCACCTCATGCACAGCCACCACCGATCTGTCAGTGGAGGCTTGCGTGTTGCACATTTCAGCAAAGCTTCCAGACTAAGACAGGCTAGGAAGAAAGGTCTGTAAATTCACTTCTAAAAATCAGTCAGTGAAAACCCTATGGATCACAACTGATCCACAACCAATCATAGGGATGGCATAGGGCTGGGCAGTGTTTCATTCCATTGTGTATGGGGTCACTGTAAGTTGGAAGCCACCTTGATGGCAGCCAACAACAACATGCTAGGACTGGGGAACGAGCCCAAGTTACCTGCAATCTTTAAGCAAAAGTAGCTATTCAGCTTCTGCTGTACAAATGTTCTCTGATGTTTACCCTCTTTAACTGAACTCTTCCTGGCTGGGCTCCCTGGGCCTCAGTGGGAGGGAGTGGGTTTAAAGTGGAGAGGGCTGGGAGGGGGAAGTTGCCTGGGAGAAGGGAGCAGTCCCTGGTCCGAGAGGACGAGAGGACGCAGGCTTTCCTACCCATTCTTGGAGAGGTGGGGTGGCATACCCATGGTCCACTTTGCCTGAATGACTCTTCTGGAGACACAGAGACCCTACTTCTACCTCCTTGGCGGTAGGTGGAGGAGCACACTAAATTTGAAGTCAATTTTCTTTGCAGAGATGCAAACTCATAAGAGTGAAAAATGGGACAGGACAATATGTTGAAGTACTAATCAATGTGTTTTTCATTCCAAGTATTTTCAGCTTCTCTCTTCCCACCCCACCACCTCTGCTCATTCTAAATTCACTGCCCTTAAGAAATGATCGTTATGGCAGAAATACAGCGAGAAGAACTCAAGTTTCAAAAGACTTTTGAAGCTCACAGCAGAGACAATGGTTTGAGATAACAAACTTTGAGTCTAAAAACCTGACAGTTAAATATCAAAAGATAAATACTGACTAACTCGTGGAATAAATTTTTTGCCACAAACAGCACAATCAGACAATTACAGGATTATCTAAAGAGGAAGTTTTTCCCACCCACCCAGAAAGAAAAGAAAATTTGCTGAGCTGAGAAAGGGAGGAGTGTCAGAGAAGACAGCAATAGAGATTCTCACAAGGATTTCTGAGAAGGGGCTTGTGCACTCCCCTGAACCCAGGCTAGCTTTGTGCAGGGAGAGACTGACCCACCAAATGCATCTGGGAACCAACAGTAGAGAGGGCCTGATCTCTGCTTCCACGGGAAGCCTGGGAGGCAGCAACCTTGCAGATTTCCCAATGCCACCAGGGAAACAGAAAAGAGGGTATGCAGAATATCGAGTACTAAAGGGCCTGAGCAGCCAATATTCCCTGTTAGAAGGTTGAATACCTACAGGAGGACTGTAGGCTCAAGAAGGATGCAGAAATTAGCTGAGGAGAGGGGCCTCCTCAGAGTTAGGATGAAGGAATAAGAAAGCAGATGGCAGGATAAATCAAACAACCCCAAAATAAATGGGAACACCAAACCAAATCTGCTGCCGTTGAGTCCATTCTGACTCAAAGCGACCCTACAGAACAGAGCAGAACTGCCCCATAGGGTTTCCAAGGAGCGCCTGGTGGATTTGAACTGACAACCTTTTGGTCAGCAGCTGAACTCTTAACCACTATGCCGCCAGGGTTTCCAAATGGGAACACAGGCATCCTAAAACCAAAACAAAGCACAAAAAACCCAAACCCATTGCCATCAAGTTGATTCCGACTCATACAGATCCTATAAGACAGAGTAGAACTGCCCTCTACGGTTTCCAAGGAGCAGCTGGTGGATTCGGACTGCCGACCTTTTGGTTAGCAGCCGAGCTCTATAACTACTGCACCATAAGGGCTCCTCATGCATCCTAGAGGATACCAAAAACAAAGGGATACCAATGTCAGAGGACCATTTGAGGCCACATCCACCTCAGTGAAAGACAGCAGGGGCAGATGACAACCAAGGACACCCAGCCCCAAGGCTGAACTCCACAGAGACAGGGGAAAGGCACAAATCCTTGCCTGACTGAAAAAATTCTGAATTGACTGAAAACAAGTTAAACTGATGGATTTAATCTGAACTGACTGGATTAGGTTTCTGCTCTCAGCAGGGCTGTAGGCTCAAAAGAGATTAAATTGAGTCACAGAAATAATAAAGGCCCTCAGGATTCTGGGAGGATGGTGGTGTAAACAAACCAGCATTATAGCTCTCCCCCACAAATACAACAAGAAATACAATAAGGAAACGGTGCTTGGCTTTGAGGGACTCTGAATCGGGGAGCTGAGAAAAGCAGCAGGCAACTGCAGATAGGCAAGAATCAACAAATCAGCAAGTCACATAAGGTAGGAAAATTGCTTCTCTCACCATCCCTGCCCCGCCCCCAGCCACGCAGGCTGCCAGATGCTGTGAACTGGGGTAGTGGCCCAGAAAAAGAGCCAGATTCCCTAACCATCACAACCTCTTCCTGTACAGAGACAGGACCCCAAGTTTTTGCCCTAAAGTCAACAAGGCAGACCTCCCTGGTAGTCCATTTGGAGTGTGTCAGCACCTCCCCACCCAGACACTGTCAGTTGCAAGCCTACTGTGAATTGCTACAGAAGGCCCGTGCAGTGGGGTTTGATCTCATAGTCAACAATCTACCAGCCTCCCTACATACCCCATAGCTCAGGCCTCTGAAACCAACAGGACAGACCTTCTGGGGACTCAGATCAGGTCTGTCTGCTCCCCTTTTCAGATGGTACTAAGGACTGCTAACTGAGGCTGCTGTGTAAGATGCAGGCATCTTTAGTGGAGGCTACATCCACAGCCAACATACTACAGGAAGTGCTCTGACATCAACAACGCAGACCTCCCTGGAGGTCCATTTGGAGCATGACAGCTCCTCTCCCTCCCCAGGACACTGTAACCTGCAAGCCTGCTATGAATTCCAACAGAAGGGCCCTGCAGTAGAGTCTGCTCCCATAGTCAGCAGTCTACCAGCCTCCCTGTGCACCTCATAGCTTAGGCCTCTGAAACCAACAGGACAGACCTCCCTGGGAATCAGTCTGATCCCCCTTACAGTCAGCACTGAGGACTGGTGACTGAGGCTGCTGTGTGCTAGGAAGCAGGCATCTTAAGTGGGGGCTACAACCACAGCCGACACCCTATGGGGCAGGCTCCAACAGCAACAAAGCAGACCTCCTGGGGATCCATTCAGAGTGTGACTACCCCTTCCCCAACCAGTAACTGTCAGTTGCTGGACTAATATGAACTCCTACAGAAGGTTCACTACAGTGGAGACAGGAGGTGGGCTACCTAAGTGGAGACTGCTCCCCCAACAACCACAGGGCCACTGAGGCTCTTAAACTAACAAGACAGATCTCTCAGAGGTCCTTGTGGGGAATGCCAGCCCCACCTCCTTCTGAAACAGAGGAAAGTCTGCCTCTACTTCCCCTGAATGCCACCTCAGATATAAGCAGCCCCCACGGAGCAGGGAAGGAAACCTCAGGCAAAACCAGAGGGCAACACCTAGCCCTGAAGGGGGCAAACTAGGTGTGGGTTTTCCAACTGAAAAAATGATTGCAAAACAGAGAAGGGAAGGGAGAAATAACCAGAGAGAGGGGACTGCGCCCCCTGGTGGACAGATTGATTAGTACATGATCTCGCTCCTGAGTGGTGGTGCCCACTGGTGGACAGACTGACTACAGCATGTTGTCTCGTGTGTTTGGGAGAGACTGAAGGTTGAAAAGCAAGATCTGGAACTTCAAATCCTAATTAAGCCAGGGAGGGAGAAGGACCTATCACAGAGAGGGAGAGGAAACGGTAAGCAAAGGCTGAAGGCTCTGCCCACCTAAAAGTTTCTTTTAGCAAGTAGTGCGGGCAAAAACACCAAACACTGAGGAAAACTGAGAAAGTTAACACCCTTGAAAATTCCAATGCCCCAACAAAAAATAACATAACACAGAAAGAACAGAGAAACAATGGTCTATCCAAATGAACATGACAAAAGGAATGAAAGTGCATCTAGGGATAACCAAATTATGAAGAAAAAAAAAAAAGAAAAAATATAAATACAATAACATAAAACATAATTAAAGAACTAAGGGAAAACATAGAAAAAAGCTAAAAGAAATAAAGAAAATGCAAGAACAAAGTGAAGATCTAAAAAAAGAGATACAATAACTGAAATAAGAAACACAGTAGAAGAACTTACCAACAGATGTAATCAATCAGGCAGAATAAAA